TAAAAATGCAAAAAAATAAAATTCGATTTTTTGAATGTGTAAAGGTGATGACTCCCCTTAAGTGTTTTTTAAACTCTCAATAAATTTAAGAATAAGTTTAGTATTCGTAATTTCTGCTATAGTTATGTGCTGACAACATTTATTCTGATCGAAAATGGTGCCAAATTATCAAACGAAACAAGAATTGAAATTTTAAATTTTAATTCAAAATGTTTTCATCATTTCGTATACTTTAATTAAAATTATATTATTTATAACTTCTTGCAATAAGCATTAATTTTTTAAGGTTTATTTTATAATGAAGAAATAGATAACCTGTGCGGCATCAATTTGAAAGCAAGGCTCGATTAATACAGTCTGAGGCCATAGACATAGAGTAAGTATTTCTCCACGTCCACTTTTCTTACATTTTTAACGAGAAAATAAGATTATGGATGTTTTAAGATGATTTGAAGGCTCATGAAACTTGAAGCCGTATAGGTCAGGCCCATCTTGCAAAAAATTTGAAAGGTTTTCATTGATTTCGACTGCTCCATCAATACACATACTCAAGACCAGAAAGAGAAATTTAAATTTTTTTTTGCATGCTCCTCATGTCCTATTTAATTCGTGAATAATTTGTTTGCCATGTAAGAAAATCAAATTATACACCATATGATATTATTGGGCCCAGAAGAAAGATACATAGCAAAGTTATTACGTAAATCTTGTAAGTTAATTTACATAAAGAGTGTTTCACTAAGTACCATATAAGAATAACTGTCAGAGCGCATAACATAAATAAATTTTTGTAGAAAAACAATTATAAGTGTGTTTTCTTTATTTATGATAAAAAAGGTGCTAACATTAATATTAATGTTTTCGGAAAAAAATTAAAATGTACATAAAAATTGGGAAAAAAGTGTAATATAAGGAATTTTTTTGAAATTTAATATTTAAAAATACAAAATATATTAATCATGCAATTTTGGGAAACATACCTTTTGCTGCAAATCATTAAGGATTTTATTTAATTCCGACAGCAGTTTTCCCTTACTTTTATTTTAACCTTCTTCTATGTTTATAGTAATATTCAATCGTTTAAAAGCAAACATAAAATACGCTTAGATAAAAAGAGGCCAGAATAAGAAAAACTGCTCATTTAAAATATCTGTAGGTAAAATGCAAAGATATGTTAACAAAAGTAAACAAAATTTCTATCAACAAATTAAATCAGTTAAAATTCTTAGTTAAATAATATGTAAGGTATTTTCTCCCTCTTTACTGTGTTCCCTAATGGAACCGATTGGGAGCATGTTCGGCTAGCAATTAAAGGTCGAGTCCCAGCGTAGGCATTGCACATTTTTCATGTTTCCTGCTTCGAAAAACCTAATAGAATACATTAATCAATGAATTAAGTGAAAAGAACCTAAGCAGAGCCAAACAGTATTATGCTCGGATTTGGTATCGTTATTCCTTTTAATCCCACGTCAGTTCTGAAAATATCACCAAACCTTTTCAATAGTTAAATTTTAAGATAGTGCGCAAATTTTTGTAGTTATAATACAAGAATTATTTTCGAAACCTTTTACAAATTTTTAAAAATAAATCAGAAAGGATGTCTGAGGTTTATTTAGATTAAAACTAATTTTAGATTAGAAAATGAGGAACGGAGTAAGTTAATTTAAAATATGATATTATTAAATGTATACAAAATTCGGCTAAAACTGCAGACGTAAAAATTTGAGTGCTAATTTTAAAAAATGCTGCTCGTGAGATTTTTAGAAAACGTAGCATTTTGGTATAACTTAAAGTGTAAAATCGAACTATGCAGAAAAATTGGCATACCGTTTCCGAAAAAAAAAAGGATTTTGTGTCCAAATGCATATGTTAGAACAATGCTATAGAAAAATATAAGTAATGCATATCCTAAGTCGTGCTTTGGAGAAAAGAAAAATGCAACTTGAATTTTGTCGTTCGATCATTTGGAACGGGAGGTGTGTGTGTGTGTGTATTTTAATTATGACAAAGCACGCTAGGGCTATCTGCCTGAGGGGAGGGATGCCTTTCGTGGAGGACTTTCTAAGGGAAACTGGCTCGTATACACGTTACACATGGGGAAAACCACAAAAATGCCCATGCAGCCAGCCCGTTCGCGGGATTCGAACCTCGGACCGAACTACCAGTGTTCAGCGTCTTTACCGCTCGGCCGCTGGTGGGCGTTGGAAACGGGAGGTACTGAATTATTTTGTTTAAAGTACTGTACGTTAGCGGCACACATGCAAGCATAATCAAGCATAGACTAATACTATGGATGCGGATATATCAATAATTAACCCGTACAGTACATTTACCGGCATGCAACATTTACCGGTATATAATAGTAAGGATTCCACCAGCTGCTGAGCTGTAAAGCTGCTGAATACTGGTTGTTCGGTGCGGGGTTCGAATCCCAGCGAATGGGCTGGCTTCATGAAGATTTTCGTGGTTTTCCCATGTGTAAAATGTATACGAGCCGATTTCCCTTATAACTCCTCCACGAAAGCCCCGAATGCTTTCTCATAACTAAATCAAATGAACTTAAAACTTGCGTTACCGCTAGTTAAGACATAACTGTTCTGTATTGCAAAAGTAAAGTCTTTCGAATTCAGTTATATGAGCTGTATAGAAATAATCTAAACACACCGCTTACAGAAGGTTTTTGTCATAAAATAAATAAGATTTGTTGCATTTGCCCAATCTGATTTCAGATTTACTATTATGTTCCTCACGCAGACTATTCCACAGCTTTTGTAGGCCTCTTGTTAACAGCCTTTGAAAGAATGTTAATGTTTCTTAAGATTGTGTAGCGGTATAGAAGCTTAAATTTCAAATCGCAAGAAATGGTTTTGTTTATATTCAATAATATTTATAATCATTGTAATCATTTATATAATATTCTATTATATTCAATAATATCTATAATAGTCTATTATATTCAATAATATAGTAGATTCATAGACTGCTCAAGCGGAGCTTAGTTGGCAAAGTGAAAGTGTAAAAGAAGAGGCAATAATTATTGTCACTATCAAAACAGTATATTGTGATCTATTTTATGCATCAATATTTCACTAAATTTAGTTTATTAGTAACCTTATAAAGAACAGAAATAAAATTAGGAAGAGTGTTAATTATATTAATTCTTTCTGCTTCACGCAGGGCGGAAATGAAAATCCATGGTTTACATGCTGCCAATGTAAACCATGAAACTATGAAAATATTAAAATACTTCAGCAGTGTTTGGCTACCTTATCTGCCGTTAACTCTCTAATCTTATCTTTCACGAAGGAATTTTCATCGATACAAGTGAGCGATAAGTTTACATTTAGGATGCGGCCTATCAAACCTCTGTTTTCCTCCAGCCAAGTCAGCAGAAACAAAGCAGAAAACAAAATTAATCACCAAATGACAGGGGCTCACAATATCACGGTTCCATAAGTACTGAGTGACAGACACACACATAATTTAGCATTATGAAAATGCGTTAAACTCATCTCAATTTACATTCTGTCTGATTTGAAAAAGGGAATACAGGAAAAAATTCATATAAAATAGAGTAAAATAAATAAATCTTGCACTCAGTCTAAAGATTCAATACAAAAAATACAAATGGAATATTTGTGTATGGCGACTATATGTAACTGCTTTCTCCTCGGACTTTAAAATATTGCTGCTTCCTTTGCGAATGCTACAACAGAGACAGGAAGAATTGTTACACTCTTAAAACATGGGCTTAAGTCGGAGCATAAAGTTTAATGCTATTCACAGAACACTTGCAAATCTTGAAAAGATATATTTCCCACTTAGCCACACATTAAACTAGGAGATGCAAAGGATTTGTTGCATTTGTTACAAATGGGTTACGGTTTCTACCTGAGAAACTATTTATTAGCTAAGTGACTAATTTATTAGTATTAAAGAGGGAATTTTTTTGAGTAAAAAGAAATTTGTATGGTACAGATTGGGAAATTATTTTTGCATCAGAAATTTGTTAGGAACTCAATTCAGTCAAAATATGTACATGAAAATATTTTAAGAATATTTGTTGCAAAAATGTAGAGCAGAGAACTGTAAGAAAGTAAGGAATATTATCTGTAGTTCTGTGAAATGTATGGAGTGAGGGTGTCTTTAAAGTATCATATTTTGCATTTTCACCTAGATTTATTTCCTGCTAATCTGAAAGCAGTAAGCTATAAAAAAGACGAGTACTTTTATCAGAAAATTTGATGTTAAGAAAGATTTATTCGCATCACAAATCCTTGCTGACATCATCCTGGAGTATAAGAAAGATAGTTCTCAGGTCACATGTAGCAGAAACTTGCAAACTTCTGAGTTTCAGGTGGTTTATTTCAACGAAGTTCACATAAATAAATGCTTGCTAATAAAAATTTGAATTTTACATTAAGATATCCTTGAATGAGATAAAAATTCCAATTAAAGTGTAACAGTAACAGAATTGCCATCAATATTATGGATTTTGATTTGCATAAGAAAGAAAGCTTTTCTTATAGGAAAATGCCAATCTCAGAAAACTATATCCGGGTATCAGAGAAAAATGGCTATTCTAACTTTCAAGTGAGTCTTGTAAAATTTGAAAGAAAAGATCTAAAGTGCATTTTGGACTTTAAAATTGATTTATGATACGAGGTGAGTATATTACATTTTTTGCACTTAATACCATTTAAATACCAGAAAAAAATTATTAAATTACGTTATTTAAAAAATCGCCTGTCCAAAATAGGCATCGCGCTTACTTATTAAAGAAAATTTACTAAAAAAATTTTCACAGTTTTTCAGTAAATTTTTAAGTTTTAATTACAATTTTTAGTTAAATAATTAATTTCAGTGGTTAAACTTATTACACGTCAAAGAATATAGTTGTTATTGCAAGAAATATTCCACAGAATGTTTAAATATAAGAAAAATTAATATTTAAATAGAAATATGAAATGTAGTAATATGCAATATAGTGATAATCTTACTTCTTCTGACAATGCTAAACGTAATGAAGTCATGTCCCATTAGGTTTCCGGCAACGCAAGTGTAAACACCATAGTCTCCTGGACCTATAACATTGACCGTTAGAGTACTCCACCATTCGTTATCATACTTTTGTTTTTGATGTACCCTGTATTTTGTGATGTCCATATGGCCGGACATTATGGTCGATCCATTGAAAGACCATGAAAATGTAATTCCAGGATAGCCTTCAGCAATGCACTTAAGCTCGACGGAATCTTGTTCCCCAGCGGCGACCCTACGTTGGAGAAGCTTCTTTAAAATAAATGGTCGATCTAGATAGAGAGGTAAAAAAATGAATCATTCATGACAGTCTGACTTCTATAACTTATAAAATTACAGAAAGACTTATAATGTGAGTTTTAAGAATGTCGTTAGGATTAAATATGTTGGTACTGAAAAGCACTCAAACTCGCAAAATTTAGCCATTCACATCAAGAAAAGTTTTGAGAAATATTGCGGAAATTTTTTTCCATTATGTATGTTATTTGTGCTTACTAGGAGCGAATAAGTTGCTTTAGTAAAACTCCAAATTCAGAGATTTCCGCATAATATATTACCGGAAAAAATAGACAATTTAATTTTATCAGAATTAAAAAAAAACATATAGCCCCTTTGACTATGCTTATTTAAAATTTTTAAAATTGACATTTATTTCTTTCACATAGATGTCTTCATTTTCAAATCTACTGAAATCAAGTTTATTAGGAAAAATGAAACAACTGGAAAGAACACATGTGAAGATAATTCAGATGAATATATTTACAGTACATTACGCGTTTCGAAAAATTTCAACAGGAATTTATCAGATCATTTATTAGATATATGCATTAGCTTCAAAAATGTTCAAATTTTTTCCCATTTAAATGGATTTGAAATCGCTGTTAATTATCATGAATAGCTACTCGATTGAAGTGGTTTACCAAGGCAATAGCTACTCTATTTTGCCTATCTTAATAATATTGCTAGATGTAAAATAAATATATCTCTGCAGTTTAGTCAGAATAAAATTTTGTGTATTGTAGAAAAAGTCACTTTAATCGATTGATCTGTAGCCCAAAGCGTAAAATAATCATTTCTTCTGTTCAAGTTAACTCATATTTGGTATGGTATATTGGATTCCCGTTAAGCGAAGATTTCCTGTGTAATGCTAACATGAAGTCAAAAAAGAAGGCTCTAATTCTTATTGATTTGAAGCTGACTATGGCCATACTGCCTTTCTCCCGTTGCTATAATATTTTGTTTGATACGAGGCTTCATTTACGTTCTTCAGCTATCGAAAGAAAGAAATATACTTTTGTAAGTCTTTAGTTTGAAATTTTTATAATCGACGTTCAATTGTTTGCTAAATTTGCGTGATATAGGACTGTAAAATTGCTCCTGTTAAGCTGATTTAAAATGAAATGTTAAAACAGAATGCATAAAATAAAACCGATGCATAAACTGAAATGTTATTTTTACTATCGACATTTTAACTCTCTATTATTGGTTTGGTTTATTTGATTTTTTTCCAAAGTACGTCAGGGCTGTTTACATAAGGGGAAGGCTGTTTCATAAAGGGAAGGTCTTCTAAGGGAAATTTGCTCTTTGTTAGACAGGGGTAAAATTACTAAAGCGCCCATGGAATCGAACCCAAGCTGAACTATCAATGTTTTACGACTTTAGAATTAGGCCGTCGGTGGGTAACTTTCTATTATTAGTAGTATTTATTACGCTTTTAGTGGCAATTGCTTAAATATCGACATTTTGTACCCAGTTAACATTCCATTGCCAACACCTAAGTTTCTGCAATACAAATTACATGGAACTAAGGCAGAAAAAACATACTGAATTTCTTTCTACTAAATGTGAAAAAATAATTATTGACCTCTACCAAATAGCAAAAATAATTTTGAAGATAACTACGAAGTCAAGACACTAATGTGTAAGTAACATATTACGCAATCTGAGGTATGCTGTTTTAAGTACCGTATTCTAAACAAATGCATAACTTCTCTGTATTTATATTGCCGTCAAGTGGATCAAAGGTAATGGTACTGCATCCTCAAGATACCTTACATGTTCAGATTCTCTTTCTTCTCTCCACTTTTAGAATAGCATTAATAGTGACTTAAACTCTCTTATCTGTTAGGTTCACATAGAAACAGAAGAATTGGTATCCCTTTTGTTATGTTAATGATCGTTTATGGAAATAAAAGATTTTATTTCTTAGCTAACGATGCATTAAATCTACCTAACGACATCAGAATAGGTATTCCAAAGAGTTATTGGAAGTCCTTTTATTATAAGAAGCTTTTATCTGAGCGGAATGAGGAACATATTTTATCTTGTAATGCTAGGTGCACCAAAAAATTCTATTAATCATATACTATACTCTGAGTCTTTCTTCTTTATTAATTTTAAAGTATCGCCGTTTTTATCTGGTTACGCAAAATTTATACGTTACTTGCTTTGTTTCAGTCTAAGATCAAGCAACTTATATGAGCGTTCGAGAAACGTACATCAAGTTTTTGACCATTTAATGTTTTCCTGTCCCACGATGGCAAAATGCCTGCAGAACGATTTAAAAATGCTAAGTGTGACCTGGCCAGTGAACGTATCTTTTATTAAGAAGCCTAGACTTCTGTTCTCTGTTTTGATTTGTTTTATTAATGCATGTAATTTTTAATGGTTTAATTAACTTACTTTTGTAAGCTCGTGTGCATTTATGGTGCCGGGGAGAATTATGTAAGGGCTGTAAACTGAAGCAACAATCTGCAAAAACATACGGGATAAGACAAAAATTCGATACATTCTTTATGCACTTAAAACAAACAGTTATGGAAAAGCTAGCAGTAGCTAATTGTCTAAGGGAAATTATTCAAATGGGACTTTTTAAAGGAACTTGTTTTGTCGGGAAGCACGTTTCGTTAGTAAAGGAATCTACTGCTAATGTTTCTCCAGTGAGAAATAAAGCAGCTTCATCATTTCTTAGTCAAACAATAGTAATATAATAATTTTCCTTCTTTTAAAATTTTTCCTCGCCTGGTGTATATGTTTGTGTGTGGGTGAAGAAAACAGAAACGAGTTACAGATGAGACAAATGTATAGAGAGGACGTTCAATGAGATACTACTTGTTAGATAGTGAAACTACTGCATTATCTTTCCAGAGTAAAGAAACGAATGGGTACTTACGTAGTATCGCAATCACCTTAACAGAAGTCACCAAATTTTCAGAACGTGCCAAACTCTGGTACCCATGCGCATAATCTGTCTTCAGGTAACTGTTCTCATAATAACCCTTCACTCAAGCAGCGGCACCATTTTCAAAGGCATTCTTTTCGTTGTACTCCAAAAGCTTTTCTGAACAAACTGTGGCGGTGTTTGCTTTAAACTTCACTTTAAAAATGCTCTTACGGAATTTGCGAGAAATTGAAGAAATTACGGTAATTTTTCTGCAGGAATACAGAATTTTGATGCAAAATCTCTAAACGGAACACTAGGATAGACGTTTGGTAGACAGCCGGTGTTGCCAGGGTTAGCGCGAAGCCAAGTCCTTGTAATTCTCTGATTTGTTTTCAAGCCAAAAAACTTTTGCGGGCTTAAGGAGAAGAAAAGAGCAAAAAATTTCACAGAAAGATTTGGAGAAGAAGTAAGCGTTTTATTTTTTAACGTGTTACATAATCTTTATTTCTTACTTAAAATATGTATTTTAACTTGCTGAAGTATATTCCTTTTTATATGTTGATACTACTTGCTGATTTACGATAAATATCAATACTTCGGAAATCTTTTAAAAAAAAAGTTTCAAAAACCACCAACTTGCACCCGATAATAACTTTTACCTTTTCTTCTAAAATACATCACGCATTTTATTTTTGAAAATACCCCAAAAAGTTATGCAAGAAGATTTTCGGTAGTAATTCCTAAAGTATGATTTTTAAATTCTTTTCGTAATAAGCAATGAAAGCAAAGTTAATTTCATTAACATTTACATGTCAATATTTAAATTTTTATTAATAATTTCGCTATTATTATTCTTTTTTTTTGTAACTTATATTCTTATCATTATTACTTATTTTTTCATTTTGAAAGCATGGTTAAGCCACATATTACTTGTACTTCAAAATTACGTAAATCAGGATAATACTATTTTACATATTGAAAATAGCACTTCAGAGAGTTTTAGATTTAAAACTTCATTATTAGAATATAATCTTTTTACAATGGGATGAAATGTTCATTTCCTGTCAGAGTATCTATTTCATTACAATACAGAGCGTCACTCTCTTTGATAGCATAAAATAGTGAGCTCTAGAAAGATTACAGAGGAATAATTTTCTTTTCTTAAACTATAGACAAAGTCAGAAGAAGGGTGTAAATATTCCTTTTATTTTAACACAAAGAACAAATATTTTAACACAAAGAAATAACAATGACCCAACTTGGGTTTACACAAGCCAAGAGTTCTTGTTTAACTTAAATACATAATGTTGAACTAATTCAAATGTATTGGATTAGCTTAACGGCTAACAGAATATTTTAAACGCGCAGGAAAGGCTCTGGTCTGTAGAAAACCGGCGAGAGAAGCTAAATGGCTAGAAACAATAAACGCCACAGAATTAAATCGCTCATATTCACGGTAGAACGTGGCCTGGAATAGGCAGATCACGCTCGCTATCTCATTAATATTCTGGCATGAAAAGAGTGGGTGAAAAGAGAATGATAGTAAAGCACTAAAATTTAAAATTTACGATTAGTTAAAAATAAATATATAAAACCTTACAAAAACAGCATACACCCATACTTCTAAAATAATAGTTAAATAAGTTATAAGTAACAGTTCTCTATTCATAACTATTATTATATAATCACACTCTCTAAATTCAAATTTATTTAGCTCTTGTCAAAATTTTCCGTTTACCTTTAAACTTCCAAAATAAGAACGCTTTAAAGAATTAAAAAAAATATTATATAATGAAATATTTTGAAACAGTATTTAATATTTATTGCATTCCCTATATTTTGACAGTAATAAATGAATTCAGATGCTGCTGAGTTGAAGTATGAATAAACGATATTATCTTTTAATCTGACAAGGATTCCCTTTCACCTTCACATTATAATGAAACAAAAATGCTATTACGTACTTTTGTCCTTAAATACGGATATTAAATGATTTTTTATACTGTAAAAGAAAATATAAAAGACTTAAATGGATTTCATGTTCTATTAAAATTTCGCGTCCATTCAGTTTTTCGAAATAGTCAGAATGAAGGCGAGTTTTGCGAGTAG